CCACCTGGATTTAGAGATCATCTGACAAACAGATTTGATGCATTAAACACTAAAGACAGAAGACCAGGAGAGTTGTGGGCTGACATCAAGAACACCATTCAGGAAGACAACTACATATTACTACTACTAAAAAATTATTTTACAATACTAAAAATTATTCAGTAATTTTTCAAATGAAAAAGCAGTCCTATGTCAAAGATTTACTGTATAATTGCTTAAAAATGTATTTTTGTAACAGAATAAAGAAAAACTTTATTTCTGAAATATCCTAGACTATCCAGCTGTGTCTATATATATATTTTTAAAGCAGAACAAGTTTTTATTTACAAAATATTTTTAAAAAGTCAAAGAAATCTTACAGAAATAATCAGTTTGGACTTAGATACACACATATAAATGCTCTCTATAAAAACAGAAAAGCAAGCTTCAGACCTTCTACATCTTCAAAGTCTTAGGATAAGCAACTACATATGTCTGATTAATTTCCCACTGTCTAGATTGTACAGATGCATGTCTGTTCGTTTCTTCAATTTACGCACAAATTTATGAATTCTTTACTGAATTACTTCAAATAAGAAATAAGCATTTTAAAGCAATAAAATGAAATCTTTTGAAATGTGAACCTTATATAACATTTGAATTCATGTCTACTACAGTTTTAATAATATTAACAACACAGTAATTTTTCTAGTTACAAACCCATTTATTTTCCAACTTCTCGAAGTAAATTAGCTCCAAAGGTTAAATCTATTTTATCAAATAATTTACTATTAGATGATATATTATTTTTAGTCCATTTCCAAATATGGAAATATATGCAGTTGTACAGACATATAAAAATGGTTTGTTTAACTTATATCCATGGGAACCAAAGACCAATTCCTAGTACTATATTTAATAGTATAGCTTCTTAACTTTGTTTATTACCAAATGAGACCCATTTTAACATCCCATAGCTATTCATGCATAGCTTTATTCCTATAAAAATGAATGTCAGTCTTTAAGAATTGCAATTTAAATATAAGTCTGCCTCTATATGTAACCTGAGAAATACAGAGTGACTTGGCAAATATGTTAGTTTCCTTGAGCTGCTGTATCAAAGAACAACAAATTGGGCACTTAAAATAAAAAATAAATTTACTCTCTCAAAGTTCTGGAGGCCACAAGTCCAAAATTCAAGTGTTGGCAGGTCCATGCTTGCTCTCAACACTCCAGGGGAGAATGGTTCCTTGCTTCATCTTAATTTCTGGTGGTTGCCAAATATCCTTGGTGTTTTCTGGTTTGTATATGCATATGCTCCCTGCCTCTACTGTAACATGGCATTCTTTTTGTGTGTTTTTATCTCTATGTTTATCAAATTTCTTACTTTTTATGAATACAAATTATTGGAATTAGGTTCCACCCTAATACAGCATGGTCTAATTTCAACTTGATTATATTTACAAAGACTCTATTTCCAAATAAGGCCACGTTCATAGTTATCAGTATTAGGACTTGGTATCTTTTGGGATTCCTGGTATGGCACTGTGGGTTAATGCACTGGATTGCAAAGTCGGTTTGATATGCAAGGTCAGCAGTTCAAGCACACCAACCTCTCCTATGCCCCTATACAGGGTCGCTCTGGGTCAGAACCAACTCGACAGCACTTAACAACAT